TCAGGGCTCTATGGCCCGCAAATAACGTGTTCCATACGGTTTATCAGCATACAGCAAACTAGGGTCAGCTACCACATAAGTAGCTTCTTTCCTGCTAGTACCTGGGGGACTTGAAGACACGATAGCGATGGAAGAGGAAGCTCAAAAGGACTAGTTTGTATGTGGGGGTGACAAAGCAGAGTTATTAGAGTGGGAATACATATTGGATGTAGGACACACAATCCATAGGAAACCAGGCTTAGTTAGCTAGTGTTAGGGAACCACTCCTTCACAATTTGCTACATAAGAAGAACAGTGTTACAAGTAAAGCACAACATGTTGGTAAAGCAGGTTCTTGTACAATACTTTTGCTAGATCAGATTGTTCGTTATATCATTCATTGATTAATTTTTCAGCTTGCCAAGGTTCCTGTAATACCCTGCTCCAAATAAAACTAATAATATTGCATCTGTTTTTTGTTAACATTTTAAGTTTTGATTACTAACTTAAGTAGTACAGCAGCAATAGACATCAAATGAGGAACCCTCAGCAAAATCAAAGTTATTAAGAGCTTCATTTCACTTAAATGAATCATTAGTGCAACAGAGAAAAACACATACTACTGCTGTCCTTATAGGCTCATTCCTGCAATTAATCGATATAAAAGCAACAACGAACACCAGGACAACGAACGCCAGAAAAGCAGTTGGAAGCATCCTATTCCACACGCTGGTGGGAAAAGGATATAGGAGCTTAGATTGCTATGGTACTTCAGAATTAGAAATAGTAACAAAAAACGTTAGCCTAGAACGAGATTGTCCGTACTGGGGAATTACATGAGGATGACTGCAGTGGGGAAAAAAAAAAAAAAAAAAGAAGTCACAATTAGGCAAGCTCTATTCCGTTTAGCAACAAAACAGTATAATCAACACCGCAGGGACTTGTTCTGCTGCTCGTTGCCAAGCTATCAGTCAAACATCTGACGGACCGAGGGCAGAGCGAGGAGCAAACCAGGAGCTCGTTCCTTATCAGACCTCGCGTTTCAAATCCCACGGCGTTGGGAGGAGGAGAACGAACATCCGTGTGTCATGCGAGATCGGTGAAGATTACCGAGAGGCAGACACGGCTCACCTCCGAGTTCGCAGCAGCAGCAGCAGCAGCCGCCC